GCCAGGCAGAGAGCAACATCAGGGCATGCTGACTTCTGTGCCCTGGAGTTTGGGGAGGGGGTCCTTCATGTTTGTCTGGGGCCTCCAGGGTCCTTGGTAGAGGACTCGGCTCACTCGCCGAAAAGTAGTCCCTGACTGGTGCAGCTCCGTGGACTCCATCCCCAGCACCATGGGGAGAAAGATAGAAAAACATGTCATTGACTTGGTCTAAACCCTGACTTCCCTCCTTCTGTGTCTGGAGTGTCACTCAGCAGCAGTTCCAAGGAGCGGGCTCGTTAAGCAAGGAGGAAGTGGGGGCTGGGAGCCGAAGAAACAGGGCCTGGGCAAGCGGCCAACACCGTGTCCCAGTCCCCACTTCAGCCTCGTGGCCATGGGACACAGCCAGGTCCTTGAGAGGTTCTCATGCCCCTTGCAACCTTCACAGGAATAACTGTCACATAGAGTGCAAAGAAAGCGAAAGTCGTGATGAGTTACCATCCAGCAATCTGTCCAAACCAGCAGTTTTCCAAATGTGGTCATTTCCACAAGTCGCCAACACAAAAAAGGACAGTGACTGGGATGGTGTTCATTCCATGGAGGGGCGGGACTCAATTTCCAGCTCGATGCTGCTCACCCCGTTGCAGCCCAGCCTGCCTGCTCCTGTGGACCACAGGGAGGACTGTGGTCCGCCCCATCCCTACCGGCATCCCTGCCTTGCAGACAGGCACCACACCGGCTCAGAAGTGTTAACTTTGATGGACTCCGGTTCATCAGCTGTTCCTTGCCTGCATCAAGCCTTTGGTGTTGTATCTGAATAGTCATCACGAATCGCATGGTCATCGAGGTTTCTTCCCGTTCCCTCTTGGAGGAGTTGTATAGTTTTTTGTGGTTTTTTTTTGGTACCAGGGATCGAACTCGGGTCCTAGTGCTTGCGCAGCAGGCAGCAAAACCACTGAGCTAAATCCCCGGCCCAAGGAGTTGTATAGTTTTGTTGGTTTTTTTTTGGTACCGGGGATGGAGTTGTATAGTTTTGCATTTCACACGTAAGCCTGTGATCCATTGTGACTTTGTTCATGGGAAGGGCAGGAGGTCTGTGGCTGTATTCACTTCGGTGCATGTGAATTTTTTTCCTGTACCATTTGTGAAATCTGTTGCTCTGACTTTTCTGCTTTGCTGCTGATACCTTGAGTGTATTTATGTGGATCAGTCTTGGGCTTCTAGCTCTGTTTCATTGATCTGTTTGTCTGTTCTGTCACCAAACGCCACTGTCTTACTTTCTGTGGTGTCTGGAAACGTGTTGTCTCTTCTGGGACTTTGACCTCGGTGTAGACTCTAGAACCTCTTTGCATGCATCCTCCAACAGCCCGCTGGGGTCTGATCCATTTCCTAATATCTGTAGCTCGAACTGGGAAGAACTGATGCTGTCCCAGTCCCAGGCTTCTGTCCATCACCATGGAGTTGTCTTAGAAGGCCCTGAGCTGTCCCTGATGTGCCACATGCCTGCTTCTCACTCTCCCTGGACTTGGGGGAGTGGGGGACATCAGGGAAGTGTCGATCGAATGCCTGCTAACCCCCACAGTTGTTGAATCGTTCTGGGATTCTTCAAGGGTGTGATTGATTCCCTGGATTCCTGAGGCTCGGTGCAATGTGCCCACCTGCATGGAACAGGTGCCTCTGTGTGCCTGCTGTGTGCCCGGCGTGGAAACACAACAGAGAACCAGAGAGCCCATCGTGCCCTACGAGCCTGGAGCTAGTGGTGGGAGACACGGCTGCTAACGAGAAGCCCTGAAGAGCAAGGGAGCTGGGAGTTTATTCTGGGGCTCTTCCGGCTTCCTGGAGGAGGAAGCTGGAGCCAGGTGGGGAGGAGGAGCGGGGCCAGGTGTCGGCTTCGGAGGGTAACAGCATCTGTGAAGCCCTGAGACTGAGATGGAAGAGCTCAGAGCTATCTTAGACTTGGGGTGCAGCCCAGAATGGGGCTCCCTGGCTCCCTGCACTGTCTTCTGTGCTGTCCCTGTAGCCTCCTTGCTTAGAATTACAGAGAGGACCTGGAGGTCCTGCAACTGCATCCGTTAAGCCTAGTGGAGACACAGACTCGTGCAGCTAACGGAGAGGCGCTGTGGAGGCACCCCAGACACCTGCGTGTCCCTTAGCGCCCACTGCAGAGATGGCCACCTGCTGGGTGACCTCACACATTAGGACACAGACTGGCTGGCTGGCCAGGACGTCCTCCCAGCCTGCCTAGCCCCTGCACGCCCCTCCACTTTGGGGGCCAGTGGTGTTTCTAAGTAAACTGACATATTCTAAGTAAGCTGACATTATATTATAATTATAACATAATATATATTAATGTATAATACATAATATTATATTTATAGCTGGTATTTGTGGAGTGTTCATTGTCCCAAGCACTTTACCTGTGATCGTGTTGTTGCATACTCACAATTTAAGGTGCAGAGATGAAGGCTCAGGGAGATAGAGTGGCCTGTACAGGGTTTTGTTTGTTTTTCTGTTACTGAGGTCTCTGCGGAGACCCCTGAGCGTGCATCAAATCCCATAGGATCCCTTGGGTGCCAGAGATTTGGGGGTGTGAGGGCCTGAGACTGGGGAGGGGCAGGGCCCGCGGTCCTCTCTGTGTGTGAACTTCTGTGTGGCTGGAGACCTGGTCCTGACTGGAGACTGCAGTGCCATGTGGAGTAATAGGACACAGGAGCTTAATATCGCACAGTTTCTCTTCCACGAGAAACCCAGGATATAATAAATAAGGAGCAAAATAAAAGACCGATGATAGGAAACAGGGAGCTAGATCTTTCTCAAAGGGGAAGGGGACCAAGAGATGAGGGGACATAAAAAAAAGGAAGATGTGTCCTATCCGTGGACCAAGTTCTAGGGCCCTCTGCATGGGGCAGGCACAGAGGATGTGCAACAGGGCTGCCACTGCAGGCAGGAGCTCCGGCTGCACCCAGGGGCCTGAGCACCCTGGTGGTGACAGGGTGTTGGTCACCAGTGGGTGAGGCCAGGAGTATAACACACTGGAAAGCAGAAGCAGATGCAGGACCTCTTGGGACTGCGTGACCCTGGTATAGTTGTGCTCTTCTCAGTAGCCCACGGGGCTACAGGGCAAGGGCCAGGGCACAGGAGGTGAGGCGTTTCATGGTATGATTTGTGACTCTGGATTAAAAGGAGGGAAACCCCATCCCGGGCCACAGCAGGGTAACCCTTGAAACAGCCATCCCTGGAGGACAAGTAGGGTCAGCATCCACGAGCACAAGGCAGTCAGTTCACAGGGACAAAAGGTGGCGTGGCAGGTAAGAGAGCTGGAGAGATTGTTGTTTAATAGATGGGGAATTTTGGGAATTTCATTTTCACAAGATGGGAAGAGTTCTGGAGATGGGGTTCACAGTGATCTGACTACACCCACCCGGTGTGGTGCGCACGCCTGTGATCCCAGCACTCGGGAGGCTGAGGCAGAAGGATTGCCTTGAGTTTGAGGCCAGCCTGGGGTACATAGCGAGATCCTGTCTCAAAAAACAAAAAGCAAACGAAACAACAATGTTACTACATTGAATGCAACTGAACTGCATGCCTAAAAAGGATAGTGAAGAAGGTAAATTCTGTTTGAAGAGACAGAAACGATCTCTTCAAGTCAGAATATGGTTCCTTGCTGGACTGTGGGGGGCTTACAGGGTGGGCAGCAGAGTTCTCTTTTTGACGACCCATTAATTTATACGCTAAGGTGCTTTGTTTTATGAAAACAAAACAAAAGACTTTTGGAAAAGGAAGGGAAGAGCTGTTGGAAATAGACGAGGCATCACACGGCCCTGGGTGAAACTCGAAGCTCTGCCGTTTGTGAGCCCTGTGACCTTCATCACAATTGATTAGCCTCCCCATGCCTCAGTTTCCTCATCTGGAAACGTAATTAGCACAGTCATTGCATCCTGGCATCAAGGTGGGACCCAACGAAAACAATGAGTATAAATCCCTAGGCACCACCCTGACCCAGAGTAAGTGCTGTCAGTGTCAGTCATCTGGCTGTGGACAGCAGTAAGGCTATAAGGAGCCTCCAAGGCTGGGTGTGGTGGTGCACACCTGTGATCCTAGCACCCAGGAGCCTGAGGCAGGAGGATATCCAGTTTGAGGCCAGCCTGGGCTATCTCGTAAGTTTAAGGCCAGTCTGGACAACGGATTTTTTTTGTCTCCAAAAAATTTTTTTAATTAAAAAAACTTTTTTTTTCCAAGTACCAGGGATCGACCTTGTGCTTGCTAGGCAGGCACTGAGCTAAATCCCTGCCCCACTCCAATTTTTTTAAGCCCCACGGGCACAGAGCAGCAACAGTGTGCCCAGACTGCAGCCAAGACAGTACATTGATTTCTGTCTTCTTACTTAGGGAAAGTCATGCTGGGTTTGTTTTGTTTTTGTTATATTGAGTATTGAACCCAGGGCCTTCATGTTGAGCTACATCTCCAGATTTTTTTTTACTTTTCTTCTTTAAAATTTTGAGACAGGATCTCACTAAGTTATCATGTTGTTCAGGGTTGACTCAAACCTGAAATCCTGCCTCAGCCTCCCAGAGAGTTGGGATGATAGGTGAGCAACACTGTGCCCAGGAGTTTTTACCCCTCTAGTCTTGGGCTGCCCCTAGACACCCTGCTTGCCCGCTTTTATGAGACTATGCCATGCTCAAAAGAACATACAAGTTCAAGGCTGACTGGCCACAGGAAAGTGTTAGATACTCGTCAGTCTCCCTTTTTTACTTCATTTCTCTATTTAAATACAGTTGTACTCTACACATTATGCTGCTACTTTTCTTACCTCCCTCCCTCTCCTCCTCCTTTTCTCTCCCACCCTTTCTCTTTCTTCCTTTCTTTGTGCCCATGATACTGGGGTTGGACCACAGGGCCTCATGCTTGTGAGGCAAGTGGTCTGCCATGGAGGCACATCCCCACCCTGCATGTAGTTATTAATATTGGTAATGTCAGGTTTTGTTTTTGTTTTTTGTTTTTAAGGGTCCAACTAGACGTGGTGGCACAGGCCTGGAATCCCAGCCCTGGGAGGCTGAGTCGGGAGGAGGATCCCTGTGAGTTCGAAGCCAGCATAAGGTACGTAGTGAGGTCGGGGCTGGCCTGAAGTAAGTATTGAGATGCTGTCTCAAAACAACAAAATACATTTATGAACGTTCACTTTTTATGCCGGGGTGTTATCCAGAATCCTGCTCCCCTAGGAGCACAGTGGAGGCCCTGGCTCCACAGCTGGGAGGAGGAGGGAAGGAGCCAGTCTGGGGAGCAATGGGGACCCTGGCTCTGCATTGTTGGGAGTGGGAACGGAGTGGGCAAGGCAGCCCCGCGGACCCAGAAATATTACTACCTGCGGGCATGCAGTTCTTAGGCTGCCAACCGTGCCTAGTTTTTCCTGAAGTCACGTTCTTGGGTTCAGTCTGCCTGAGTCACGGGCCTGGGCTGGATGTGAGAGTTTCTTAGAAAACACTGGGCATTCCCGGGAAGACCTCCACGTGGCCCCTGTTCCCTTCAGCTGGGCCACCTTGGGCTCCAGATCTCTCAGCACGCTTTAGAGGCTGCTCGTTTCTCATGCATCTTCATAATTGTGGTAAAATGTCCCCGACATACACCATAACCCTCCCCACCTTCAGCCCAGGCACTTGAGCTGAGTCCACACCCCACAGCCACTGCCCCATCCATCCCTGGGGCCTGCACAGTGTAGTTAAACCCTCTGCCTCCCGCCCCTGCTCACTCCCTGTCCCGCCAGCCACTGCCTGCATCTGTCCGCAGGGGTCCCAGTGGTCTCGGGCTCAGGCAGTGGAATCAGGCACCCAGAATCCATCCATCCGTCTGTCTTTTTCTTTCTCCTTTTCCTTACTCCTTCTTTCCTTTCTCTCTCTTTCTTTCTCTCTTTCCCTGTTCTCTTGCTCCCTCCCTCTCCCCCTTCTCTCCCTCTGTTCCTTCCTTCTCTTCCTTCTCCCGGACGCTGTGGATGGAACCCAGGGCCTTCAGCGTGCTAGGCCGGCTCTCCACTGCTGAGCCACTTGTAGCTGGGTTGCTTCACTCAAGGTTCATCCGTGTTTGTCCCTTTATGACTGAGTCATATGCCTGCCACTGTGTGGACAGACCACATCCTTACCACTGCTGCCTGACATGGGCACCAGGGCTGCTCCTGCCTTCTCCTTATTGAGAACAATGGTGCTGTGGACATGGACTCATCTGTTTCTCTACAATTGTCCAGGGCTGAGGTGGGCACTGGCCTGGGGCCTGTGTGAGGCCTGGGTTTCATCCCCAGCGACAGGCACACGCGCGCGCGTGCGCACACACACACATGCACACGCACACGAGCCCCCGTGATGGGGTGATGGTCCCCATGTCCAGGGAAGAGTCCCCACCAGGTACTGATGCTCAGTGAGCAGCTCGAGCAGCAGAGCTGAGGGGCGGCAGGGTGGGAGCAGCTAGGCCTGGGCCTGGCGAGGTGACCGGAACACACTGCCATCGCATAGCTGGGGCTTCCCTGCACTGGGAAGGGCCCTTGGGGATAATCTAGGAAAACTGATTACTTTTCCATTTCCCAGACTCTGATTGTTCCGATAAGCCCCACAGAAGTTCCTGTACGCTTAGGCAGCCCAGGTGTCGGGTGGAACTTTAATGAACACACCAAAGTCCAAGGCTGTTTGCCTGTCCCTCCTTTGCTTGTCCCTCCTCCCCCGATGAGCTCACTGTACTGCTCCAGCTGGTTGTGAGCAGCGGAGGTTTGAGTGAGTTGTGGAGAACAGGAGGAGGGAAAAGCCAGTGGAGAACCGTAGGAATGAAGGACATGCCCACTTTGAAGGGAGACACAGGCTGTCGGCAAAGTACGGTAGTCCACGTTGCTGACTGCAACATGCTGTGTGGTCAGACCCCACTGGCATCCATGTCAAGGCAAGACAAGTGGGTCTGAAGCCCTGAGGCAGCTCCCACCCATCAGACGCTCTGTGATGCCGTCCCAGCGTGGCAGGGTGTCCCCAGCCCGGAGCCTCAAGTCTGAGAGGCAGGTGCTCTTCAAAGAGCTCTCTGGATTTGGAGGATTTAGGGTTCCTCTAGATCGGTTGTTCCCAAGCTGCTCTGTAGCCCTCCTGTCCCTTCCCCTGCCCCGTCCTCTCCTCCACCATCTGCGTCTGTTTTCCTACATTTTTGCATGAACCAGGGGTTATGAGCCTGGAGAGAGAAGAGGCGCATCTGGCCTGGGAGGAATGGGGGCTCCTCTCTCTTCCCGACTTTCAGGTTAGGAATGTGGATGTTAATTTCCAGCCAGACTCAGAGAGTTAGACTTTGCTGCTGGGCATCGTGATGCATGCCTGTCGTCCCAGCGCTCAGGAGGCTGAGGCAGGAGGATCCCTGTGCAATTGAGGGCAGCCTAGGCTACATGGTGAGACTCTGTCTGAAACACCAAGAAGAAAGAAAGAAAGAAAGAAAGAGAAAGAGAAATATTACATTTTCTCTTATAGGAGAAACCTGAAATATAAATAGATAATTGGTAAACTAAAGGCAAGGTGATAGGAACGAGAAGGCGGACTCCTGGAGGGGAAAGGGACCGAGGCTGAAGGAGACCTGGCATGTTCTGTGCCTGTCCAGTTCCCAGCATGAGCATGGCTGTCCCGTACCACTTATGCACCCACATAAGAAAGGAAGAATGTGGATGCTCGAGCCAGGCATCCCAGCCCCGTGGACCACGTGACTGCACTGGGACAGGGGCATAGCCTCGAAGGGCCCGGTCTGGGGATGGGGGACAGCGATGGTCCCTACCCCAGGGCCACTGAGGAGGAAGTGAGGCCAGGCAGGGCTGGGAGCGGCCGCGTCCATCCCTGCACCGAGGGCAAACCATCCCTGAGATGGCCTGTGTCCAGCTATGGGTCCAGTACATGCGACTCCCCTGGGAGTGTTGGCACATGGCTGTCATCCCAGCACTGGTGAGGCCGAGGCAGGAAGGTTGCTGCAAGTCTGAGAGCAGCCTGGGCTACATAGTGAGTTCAAGGCCAGCCTGGACTAGGACAGATTCTGCAGTCCGAATCACGTCCTCTGCAGGGGTGGAGGGTGGACAGACAGAGAGGCAGAGACGGAGACAGGTCTTCTTGGCTTCCTGTTCTTGCCTTCTTGCTAGGCTGTTTTGAGCTTCTTTTTCCCGTCACTGGGGACAGAATCTAGGACCTTTCCACTGAGCTACATCCCCGCCCTTTCGGTGTTTTTCACTTGGCTTCAGGGTCTCCCCAAGTTGATACATTGCCCGGGCTGGGCTCAAACTTGCAATCCTCCTGCCTCAGCCTCCCGGAGTGCTGGGATTACAGGTGCGCACCACCACGTCCAGCTCTGTTCTTTGTGACTGTGAGCACCAGGCCAGCTGGTGGGAGGGAAACATCACTCCTGAGGCCTGCAGGCCTGTCGGCCGGGGTAGGATGGGACAGGTAGAGAGGGGAAGACAGGCGAAGGCTTCCACACAGCACTCGAGCCCTGGAGCACACCTTGAGGGTACCTTGAGGGTACCCAGTGACTATTCACAGAGGCCAAGGACACAGACCTGAGGCCGACACCCAGAGTCTAGTGGGAAGGTCTGGCTGGTAATTAAGCAATTACAGCCTAGTTCGGGAGCATTGTAAAAAACTCTGGACAAAATTCAAGAAAAACTGGAAGGGAGAAGGGTACAAGAGCCCCACCTGTAGGTGAGGACAGCAGGTCACAGCTGGCCTGTGAAGGGCCGGCAGGTAGTCTGGCCGGCTGGGTTGGGGACACCATCCCGGCCAGAGGACGATGGTGGCCACGCTGCAGGTGACAGAGGTACTGAGCTGGGGACACCGGGCGGAACGCATGTGGGAGGGCTCGGAGGGCATCCGTGTCTCAGGAATGCATGAGAGGGGAGAGGGGCAGGGACAGTGTGGGGTGCAGGTTTGGGGAGAGGGGAGCGGACTCTGCAGGCAAGCGGCCGACACAGCGAGAGGCACTGTTGGTGCCTCTGTGAGTCTCAGACAGGAACAGTTTTTCATATCTATTTTATTCTCTAGGTTGGACTTGGACTGGGACTTGAGTGCGTTCTTTGGTTTTTTTTTTGAGACAGAGTCTTGCTATACAGCCCAGGCTGGCCTTCCAGTCACTATGTACCCAGGCTGTCCAAAAACTTGTTTCGATCCTCCTGCCTCAGCCTCCTGAGTGCTGGGATTACAGGTGTGCACCACTAGGCCTGGATTTGAGTGCATTCTAATCAGGATACCCAGGGAAGTGGCACAGCCGGCCCAGTCGTGTTTGAGTGACCCCTGCGTCACATGTGGGGTTTCCATTGTCATCAGACAGTGAGCAGGGGACAGAGGGGACTGGGGGGTCTTAGAAGAGCGATGTGGCTTCTGTGTGGGGTGGCTTGGGGGAACCCGACCAGGGGCAAGGGGTCCAGTTAGCGAGCCATCCCCGTACTGGAGAGGAGGCAGCGTCCAGGCTGAGCCCAGCAGGGCAGCATGACATGGCCACAATGTCTGCACCACTGTCTGCTGGGCAGAATGTAAAGCAGGGCTGGGCAGGAGACGTGGTGCCCGGAAGGAAACTCCTTTCACCTGTGCGGCTGCTGAGGTCTTAATTCCTGGGGATGCAGTGTTTCTTTGTGGAGCACACCCAGTGGGAAGCGTGTTTGTGTCCTGGCAGCTTGGCGAGGTGCTGGGGCGGTCGAGGCTGTGCCCCCGCACGGGAGCTCTCAGAAGTGAGGGTGTCCTTGGATGGCCTTGGCTGGGTATCAGCCAGAAGGCAGCTGTGCTGGCAGCGCCTGGGGACTGTCGCCAATTAGCCACTGGGACAGAGAGTTCCGGGGTGAACTCCGCAGGGGCCAGCCCGGGGAAGGGGAGGCTCATCTGTGGCTCCAGCAGCTTGGCCATAGGACACCTGCTTCCAGTTACTGCTGTGTTAATCGTCCCCAAGTATATTATTGAATGAGCATAGCACGGAGCCCTGATGCTGGTCCTGTGGGGTCAGAGCCCTTCATCGTCTGTCATTTCCCTGGCTCTGTGGGGAGGCAGCAGGTCACAATCTTGGTCAAACCTGACCCATCTGGAGAGTTTTCAAGACCCCGATGCCTGGAGCAGTTA